AGTAAGAGTTGAGCTAGGATATGGTTATAGCTGATTCTCCCTTGCCGGGATGGTTATTTTGATATTATTGTTCCCTTGTCGGGAAATTATTATTATATTGCTTTTGTTTTCCTTGCCGGAATTTTATTCTGACTTTGTGTTGAATTGAAATGGGAGAGGGTGGTACGCCTACCACAAGTTATTGATTGAAATGGGAGCGGGTGGTACGCCTACCACTAGTTATTGATTGAAATGGGAGCGGGTAGTACGTCTACCACAAGATATTGATGAAATGGGAGCGGGTGGTACGCCTACCACGAGTTATGATGAAATGGGAGCGGGTGGTACGCCTACCACGAGATTTGATGAAATGGGAGCGGGTGGTACGCCTACCACGGAAACATTGAGAAATGGGATCGGGTTGCACGCCTGCAACGAGATGTGTACTGACAGTGAAATCTGATTTTATTTCCCTTATCCGTGTTAGAGTTAATTTATTGATGTTCCTTATTATTCTCTTGAAATTCTGTATTATCTGCTATCCCCGAAGCATGTTCCCCTCCCATATAAAATGTTTATTCTTGTTATTTTCCCGCTATATATATATATATATAACTGCACAGGTTTATGTGGTAGTCCTGTCTAGCCTCGTCACTACTTCGCCGGGGTTTGGCTAGGCACTTACCAGCACATGGGGTCGGTGGTGCTAATACTGCACTCTGTGCTCTTTTGCACAGATCCAGGTACCGGACAGCAGCAGTAGTTCGGGAGTCTTCCTTCAGTCCACCGAGACACCGAGGTAGCCTTGCAGGCGTCCCCAGGCCCGGCGTCTCCTCTATCTTACATTTCATTCTGTTATCTCATGTTTCGATACAAACAGTGTTATTTTTCCTTCAAACTATTGTATTTAGTACTCTTAGCAGTCCGTGGATGTTATGACACCAGTTCTTGGGTAGAGGCATATGATGATTTTCGCATTATTCTTCAGTTTATTTAATTTAAGTCTTCCGCTTTAATATCATATTTCCGTTGTTATCCTAATATTTAACGCTTGTTGATATAATTGGTAAACAGAATTTAAAATGAAAGAGTTAGGAGTTTATGATTTGTGGCTTGCCTAGCTTCTACGAGTAGGCGCCATCACGGCCCCCGAGGGTGGGAAATCCGGGTTGTGACAAGTTGGTATCAGAGCTCTAGGTTACATAGGTCTCACAATTCACGGACAAGCTCGGTAGAGTCTGAGGTATCGGTACGGAGACGTCTGTATTTATCCCCCAGAGGCTACAGAGTTAGGAAAAGTTTCACATATCTTGACACCAAGTGAGTGAAAGCTCATTGATGATAGATGTGAAGCGAGTGTTCATATCTTGAATGGATTCATCGTCCTTCATTCTGAAAAGCTCATACTATGTGGTCAACATGTCAATCTTAGACTACTTTACCTGTGTTGTCCCTTCATTAGCTGTTTGGAGAGCTTCACAGATCTCCTTAGTTGATTGGCATGCTGAAATCATGTTGTACTCATCTGGTTCAATACCACAAACGAGGATTTTCTTTGCTCGAAATTTCTTTTCAATAGCCTTACGATCAGCAACATTATATTCCTTTCTGGTTTTAGGAACTGTCACTGCGGGTTCTCCAATGGTCTTCGTAGGAACGAAGGGTCCATCACAGATACTATCCCAGAGCTCTAAGTCTTCAGCCATGCAGAAGTTGTGCATCCTTGTCTTCCACCATCCACAGTATTGGCCGTTGAACCTTGGTTGTCTGTAGGTAGACTAACCTTTTTCGAAGTTTGGCAGAGTAGCCATGAGGATCCTTTCTAAGTGTTAGCCTGATAGAAAGAACCCGCTTTGATATCAATTGATAGAAATTAAGGGTCCACCAAACTATATAGAGAAACAGGTTCTCTATTAGTTCCCACAGAACACACGCACACTGCAGTAAGTAAATGACACAATGGAGTTTTACGTGGAAAACTCCTAGCTCACGGGATCAAAACCACGACCTACCCTTGTAGGATTTCAACTTCACTACTGAGCAAACTTTAGATTACAACCTATTGTTACCTAGGAATTAACCCCTTAATCCCTCACTAACTTGTAACAACTCCATTACAAGCCACTTTGTAATAACTCTATTACAAAGACTTACAACTCGACTAACTCTATCCAAGACACAAACACAAGGGTTTATGATTTACAAAAATTTCCTACACAATGCTTCTAACTAAGCTAAGGAGGAATTACAAGTAGAGTGCTTTAATCAAAGGTATAACATAACTAAGAACATGTAATAACTCGATACAGGGAACTAGTCTGTTGTTATGTTGTTCTTTGTTCTTGATGCCCTTGAGAGTCACTTGCAAGATTGATAGATGACTTGAGAGAATATTTGATCAATTCTTTAATGTGCAAGTGTTTTGTTTTACCTTTGCTTGACGTTAATAATTAATTCGTGACATCACTTGAATGATGCAAGCAAGTTAGGTAAAGGGCATTCCCCATAAAGCTGACTGCTGCACTGTTTTGCCACTGTTGCGTGTGCAGGCAGCAACTTTACAGCTGAGAGGGTTGACTTGTACAGTCACCACGGGAACAGGTAGCTATCTGTGATTCTGTTCCCTCTGTTGTTCCTTTGACTCTGAAGAGTTGAACTGCGTCTCCAACTGGAGACTTGTTGATCTTAGTTCTTGAGGATGTGTATCAGGTTCCTTATCTGGTTCTTAACAGTAAGTTTGTTAGATCGTCAAAACATAATAGGGATATACATATAGCCTATCAGTAGTATTTAACTTATATACGCAGTATAATTTTTCGACAAAAGGTGTGCGCTTAATCACCTTGGCATAAGGTGGCTACGGCAATGAATATTGGTATATATAAGTTTATACTGCTATTCCAATATGAAACAATCGAATGACTATCTGCATTATAATTCGTGCATAACTTTGTCTATGAACCAAATTACCCCTAAATGGTACTAAACGCAGAATAATTCTACATTGATACCTTGGTTGATGAGTTTAGAACATTATTGACTATTGATCACGCCCAATTATGCCTTATAAAAGGGACTAAATGGTTGTTGCAAATATAATCCGATTTAAGAGTCTAGGATCGAATCCCACAGAGATTCTAAGATTTAACTATAACTGCTTACTATCACTGAGAAGATAAATTTGAACAAATTCTGAAGTTATAAATATAAAGATTCTTATGTATGACTGATTAACTAAAAAATAAAAAAAGGAAATCAACAACTAAAGATACTAAGGTTTGGAGACAAGATTAAGGAGAAGCCTATAATTGTGATGTTCCCAATTGTCGGAATTCTGACTGCAACGTCTCCTATAATTTTGCCTGAGTATTCTCTACTGATCGTGAGTATTTCGGGTGTCTTAATTCTCTTTCGAGCAACTACTAAAATTTACTATACGTATTCTTCTGAATTACGCTAGCTGGCACTAGTTTACAGCTTACTAAGATCACACCAAGATTTCGTTATTCCTAAACCCTCTGTATTGATTCCTCACATACATTAGGAGAGATGTTCAAAACTACCTAAATAAGTACCATTTTCCAAGCAATACACACTAAATAGGCACAGTCAAGTGAGGGCCCTTCAATCAACTAAGATAATCACGTAGTTGAACAATAGATAAAATCCAACGGCAAAATTATATAAAACGCTACAGAAAATCATCCTCCAAAAGGTTCCATCAAACCCTAGATAAGAAAGTTTAGCTACTCATAACTATACTAACAATCATGATAATAAATAAAAGCATTAAATACAGATTAAGGAAGAACAGAAGAGAAAACTCTTGTTATTCGTTGCTTCCAAGCGTTCCCATAGCCTTCTTGCCTCTCGAATAATGTTTCTCCCTCTTAAGAAATAGGTTTAGAACCCCTATAATCGGGCAATAGCGCAGATAAGATCAGACTGAATGTGTAAAGGATATGGTTCTGGTTCTCTTCTGTCTCGTTCCCTCAATCAAAGAAGAATCCATGCCCAGAGCTAGTGATCACGGCTTCTGACACAACATTCATCCAAACAAGCCCGTTGGATTTTCAAGTAGAGAAAGGTGGTCTGCGAGCGTCCGATCTTTTTCTTACTTGAATGAAGAAAAACAGAACCTCTCTTTTCGGCCACAGCTAGCATTTCGCTTTCCATTTCTGAATACCAAAGAGCTCCCAACTGAAAATTTCTCTCGATCACTCTCTAACAAAAAGCCATTTTCCCTTTCGCAAAAAGTAAACTTGGACTTCTTTCGTAAGCGGAGGCAGATCTAAAACTGCTATAGTAAAGTAGAACGAAAGTACCTCCCAAAGGTTCTACCTTTTCTTGTGCGTTCGGGAATAAATAGAAAGTTTCTAAATGTATAGAAGACTCTCGATTGATTCTTCTAGTTGCGGGACGAAATCCGACAGCCAATTGCTGGCTCTGAATAACTAGCCCAGCAATAAGTTCAATTCTTCCATGACATAAGGGGGCGGGCTTGCGCTAACCTGGACGCCGAACCTTTTTCTACTTTTGTGCTCTGCTGCCCTTGGCATTTTGGTTGGTGCCTGGCGCAAACCTGGACACCAAAGTCATACTCCCTCCAAATTCTTCCTTTTTTTACTTCAATTTGCATGCAAGCTTGCCAAATCAGTTCCAATTGACTCCTACACCTATAAACACCATTATTAAACTCGAGTCACAAATATTAACTCCAAAGTTAACAAAATCGAAGCATAATGCAAGGCAAATTACATGCAAAATCATGGATTTTAGCCTAACATCAATTGTCAATCAATCACCTGTGCTCTTTAATCATGCAGTTTTATTTTGTGTTTAATACACAAGAATATGTAAAACAAGGGCTTGCAAAAATAATTCTACACTGATACATTGGATGAATTGTTGAATGCCTACAGGGGCGGATGTAGCTTTTAGGCTACAGGTTATACTGAACCAATAACTTTCGATACGGAGTATAAATTTATATGTAAAAATTTACTAAATCTCAATAAGTATTATATCTAAACCCATAATTTATACAGTATAATGAATTCAATGCTGAGAATCTTAAAAATTGAGCACAATAAATTAAATCCTGAATCCGCCACTGCCTATTTGATACGCAAGAATATGTAAAACAAGGACTTGCCAATACATTTTGCAGCTATATATCTAACAAACTATCAGCTATAATATGATGTGTGTCTAAAACTCAGGATTTTCCAAAGCCATTGCAGTTGTCAGAAGTATAATGTTATCTATGCTGAAAATCTTTTTTAATGAATTTAATCTTAAATTTATCTATTTTAGTTGTAACCATTTCTATGTGCCTTTTGCCATCTCCATGCTATAGATAAACTCTCTTCAAGTGTGTATCTCGCGATCCAATTTAGTTCACGTCTAATATTGGACGGATCACTATAGACTTCAGCATAATCTCCTGGACGTCGAGTCAGGTATTCAATCTTTATGTCCACTCCTGTAGCCCTTTTACAAGCTTCGACGAATTGTTTCACTGAACTACCTGTAGTAACACAGCATTTGACAAATTTTTAACACTTGTAGATAAAATAGAGTATGTATAATATATTGCAGTGATAAAAAGGTCAAATGATTTTTACCTTTTCCTGTCCCGACGTTGTAAATACCAACTTTGCTAGGTTTTGCATGCTCTAATGCTTTTACATGAGCATCAATTAAGTCAGTTACATCAATGTAGTCTCTTATACACGTTCCGTCGGGTGTGTTGTAATCGACTCCTCTTATCTGCAGTTCACCACATAAAAGAAAAGATTCACTTATACACAATGACAGTATAAAGATTTTTTACATTATCAGTGTATTTTAATCACTTTTATCAGCTAACCTGTCTTATTTTCTTGGTTATTTACTCGTAGTTATCTTTCAGGTGACTAGATAGTCTAAAAGCTATTTTACACGGTAAGCGTGTATGGAAGTTAAAAACTCGTGCTAGTAGATAAACTATGAATAAAGACAAACATGATAAAAGTTCAAGACATTGCTTTGAAAAATACAACAACAACAACAAAAAACCTAGTGTAATCTCACTAGGGAGTCTGGGGAGGGTAGAGTGTACGCACAGGCGGATCCACGATTTAAACTCTATGGGTTCAACCTATAAAGTTTTTAGTATTGAACTCATTATATACTAAAAGTAATAGGTTCATATCCACAATTTATTGCAATTTCAGTGAATTTTTGCACATTAATTTGTACTCTGCGTTGAAAGTTATGGGTTCAATTGAGCCAGTTGCTATATGACTACATCCGCCTCTGTGTACGCAGACCATACCCGTACCTGAAGAATGTTGAGAGGCTGTTTTTCGGAAGACCCTAGACTCGGGTGCTTTTAAAAATATAGCATCTAATTTGTACCTATTACTGCTTACCTTCAGTCCTGGAATTATTCCCCTGGCTGCATCAAAACAAGCACCAGATATACGACCTTGCTCACGCAATTCAGGCCGAGGAGCTTCTCCTAACTTTCCTTCAGGGTCTGAGCCAATTACATTGAAATACCTGATTATTTTCATTGTAGACAGTAAGGTACTTGTATCGATTATGCAGTCAAAACAACTTCAGATCACCAAACTTAACAACTTTATCAAGCTTAAAATTGGAAATTAACGGACTTTTTTCCTGAAGATACCGACACTCCTGGAAAAGTATCAGCAATCATTAGCAGGTATAGTAACAACAATAACAACGACAAACCCAGTGAAATCCCACATGTGGGGTTTGGAGAGGGTAGTATGTACGCAGTACTTACCCCTACATTGAGAAAGTAGAGAGGCTATTTCTGGAAGACCCTCGGCTCAGAAAAGCAGGTATAGTACGTAGGTGCTTATATATCTGCTCTAAAGGGGCAAAAAATATACTACTACGATTCAGCAGCGGAAGTATTCAACTTTCTTGTGCAAGGGTTACTCCTTTACTATGAATCAGGTGATCATTCTCTTCACAGTATTGAAATAAAGCACAAACCTTAATATCATGATAGCTACATCAGAAGTTTTTGAGAAGTCTAGTATGATATCTTCAGCCATTTTCTTTGCTTTGCCATATGGATTTATCGGCGCCTGATTGTTCAAAGTTGCATCAGTGCATTGGAAAGTATAGAATCATCAACTATAATTACAATAACTGAACAATTATTCCAAACATCAACACCAGCAAAATTGTCAAATCTCAAATGACATAAACTGCTGGTTCCAATTTAACATAAGGGAACTTTACTTATAGACAGAAAATGTATCATATCAAGAAAAAAAAATTACTTTACATTGCTAAAGGTAACTGGAGTTCAGTCACTGACTTGTGGGGTTTGTTCTGTAATAGGCATTTTCTCAGGCTCTCCATACGTGGCGCAAGTACTTGAATAGATTAATGTCTTTACACCATGTGTCGCCATTGCCTTAACGAGTAGCAGTGTGTTTGATGTGATATTATGATAATACCTGCACAGTACTCAGTAATATTTCTTGACGAGAAGAAAATTGGATCACAATTTTGAGCTTCGTAATATAGGAGATGCACAAGCTCGAAAACAACAAGTTCAAAATAAGACTATTTTCTGATTTAAAAAAAGGGCAGCCCGGTGCACTAAGCTCCCGCTATAGTACGCAGCCTTACCCAGCTATTTTTTGATTACTGCATTGATAATTAGTTTCATAAGTAGAAAATGCATCAAAAAATGAATGATTTAACAGTTGATATGAGTTAGAGCTTCAGAATTTTGTGGAGTACCTAAGAGGCTCTTGTGTACTTTCACCAACATATGCAACAGCTGCAAAATGCATCACAGCATCGAATGCATTTCGTTTAAATATCTTGTTAACCTGAGGTACTAGTTAAGGATAAGGAAATACTAGCCTATAGTTAGACCAGAAGATATGCTATACTGCGACAAAATGTGCTAAGAACAATAGGAAGAAAAAGAAAGCATTAGGGATACAGCTACTGCATCTCCTAAATCAGCATAAATAAATTGAAGTCGTCCTGGTTCAGGAAACAACTCTTGGAGAACTTTTACAGCGCCCATGTTACCACGCGAAAGGTTGTCCTGTTCAAATGAATCACATAATAAGGTTGTCCTGTTTTCAGCACCCATGTTACCACGCGAAAGGGGACTCTGAAATGAAAAGGTACGTACCACTATAGTTACACGGTATGAATCCTTTAGGAGTCGAAGAGTAGCATGAGCACCGATGAATCCAGCACCTCCAGTAACTAAGACATGAGTTACACCAGGTTCATGTTGAGAAAACTGAAATTTATATTTGAAAACGACTGTCACATCAGTATCAAAATTTTAGTTGGCGTAGCTTATATACTTTAAAGAGGTCAAGAAACAAGAAAATACTGTTTTCAGATAACGTCGCCTAGTATATGACATCATCTGTTACTGAGACAAATGGTCATATGATTATTCTGATAAATGAATAATCATTTTGTTGGAGAATATAATTGTTCCACATCCGATATGGAACGAGTGTATATTCTCTAACAAGGCTCACTCGGTACTATCAATGTACAAAGTTAAGATAGCATTGCGCCTAAATTCATACTTAAACTGTTGTGATTTATAACTCCACTTGATTGAAGAAGTAAACAGAAATGCAATTGCATAAGAACCAAGAACACGAGTTCGGTTAGAATTTAACCTTCATGAAACTACTAAAACCAGGAGATGTTCTGAATATAAGGAAACAAATTGCAGTAAGGCCAGCAGCCAAGATCAGTCTCCTAGTAATGTTGCTCCTTTGCTTCGACACCGCCACAAAATCCATGCCTGAAAATCAACGCGCAAATGGACATGCGTAGATTTCTAGCTCATGCCAACTTTGTGAATTATTACCATGTTGATGAATCCTTATAGCTATTAAATACTCCCACCATTTCAATATATATGCCAAAGTTTGAACAGGAAGGGAGTTTAAGTAAGAAATGAAGATTTTTGATACTTGAAACATACTATAACATTTGTGTGGTTATAAGACTTTTCAAAACTTGTGATCTTGAACATTCCATCATTTATGTGGCTATAAAAGTTTTTCGTTAAGTGTAAAATAGGAAGTTTAAATAACATCATTTTCAATTTTGGAAAGCTTCCATTCTTTCGAGATGACTAAAAAGGAAATGTTGCCATATAAACTGAATGGGGAGAGTATGTATGACAAGTATTTAAAGTTCTAACACTATTAATGGGTTGTTTTGTTTGAATGCAAGTTATGATGAGATTAGTTATACTGGATTAGTTATCCTAGTATTATTTCTTATTGATTGTTTGTTATGTTTTGTCAATTTTACTGCTTTATCCTGGGATTACTATTCCACCCTCTGGCAGGTATAAGTTATCCCGGTACTATTTTTAATCCTTGGATAACTTATCTCATGATTACTAACCAAACAAGGGATACAGCGGTACTAAATTTTTTATTCCATGATTATTTTTGCTTATCCATCGTACCAAACTACCCCTTAGTTCATTGAAATCACTTACCCTTTTACTAGAAAAGAATTCCTACTTTTCAACCAATTGCTTTGCTATTGCAACTTCCACATACATGCTAAAATATAACTTGATGGAAATAAAGTATCATAATTCATAACTTCTCTCCCCTGCACCAAGAGAGAGAAGGTAAATCAATATCTATGCAAGGATAAATATGGAGAATTATACATATAATTGAGTAATTTTACAAAAACTATATAGTCATACTAAACTCCAACTCCCACTCACGAATTACTAACTCGTTGATTTAAAATTTTGAATCTGCATATGAGAATGAATATATAACAAAATAGTGTGACAAATCAGACCAACTAGTTTGAGATCGAGATTAGTTGATTGTTACAGTCAAACCTCTCTATAAGAGCATCACTAAATAACAATCATTCACTATAAAAGTCAAAAAATTTTTGGAACCAACTTTTATGTTATGTTATGATATATGTAACTGTAATAGCACTTCAATATAGCAGCAAGAAAACTATCGGAACAAACGAGGTTTTTATAGAGAGGTTTGATTGTAATAGGTTAAATAGTAAATTTATATCACCAGAAATAACACCAAAACAAAGTATGACCTTTGTACAAATGCCATGCAAAAAGAGAAGTTGACAATCAACGAAAACTATTACATAACCAACCAAAACAATACAAAAAATGAAAGAATGCTAAATGATCAATAATAAAGAGAACAAAGAACCTTTTTCTTTTTACCTAAGTAGAAGATGAAAGGAAGAGTCTCTGATCTGTAAAGCAAACTGAAATGCAAAGAAATGGAGAAAATAGATAAACAAGAAAAGAAAAACGAAGAGGGGTGATTTAATAAAATTATAAGTATAAAGAGAGCAAGAAAAAATAAAGTAAGAGTAAAAGAAATTAGTTAAATAAAAGAGAAAGATTCAGAAATATGAGTATATAGTGCAAAAGCAGATCTAAGCTTCAAAATGAGGGGATAATAATTATTTTAGAACCTAATTAAACTGCAAAAACGAAGTCCTGGTCTTCTGGGGAAATGTCGTGTTACCTATCTTTTGGACTTGAGTTAAACTTTTTTATCTTTGTTGCAGTTATCAGAAAAACAATGGAACTTATTTTAAAAATCTTGGCTACTGAACTTGAAGGGGAGCCTTGGGTAAGTCTCCAACAATAGACCCTTGTGGTCCGGCCCTTCCCCGGACTTTGCGCATAGCGGTGGCTTAATGCAACTAGGGCTGCCCTTTTCTTGGCTACTTTACTTATTGGGGATGCTTTTATTTATTGTTCACTTATTTCTTTATTTATCATTATTTCAGGTCAATTTGCGTGCATCGCGCGATTAACTTTCACCGTCCAGAGAACGGTGTTAGAGCGTGAAATCACTCCAATGCTCAAATCAATATGGAATGAAGTGAGTTCAAATTGAAAAATCAATATGGGATGAAGTGAGTTCAAATTGAGCGAATAAGAAGATGAAAATTCACATAGCCGATCCCAACTAGCTCCGTGATAGTAGTGTACATATTGAGCTTATTATATATCACATAGATCACTATTTATTCTCGGGAATAATCCAGGAACTTCCTTTTAATTTTCCAATTTTATGGAATTAACTAAAAGCAAGGAGAAAGAGTATAGGTACTGCCTAAATCACAGCCTTGCCACAGAACTAGCAAGAACAACAACAATAACAACCCACTAAAATCCCACAAGTGGGGTCTGGAGATTGCCACAGAACTAGCACTAGCATTGAAATTCAGTCGCTTACAGTGAGGCGATTATAACAAATAATCCACAGCCCTTTTCATACTGCGACAAATTGAAGACATATAAAACATCTATAGTATATCCAGTGCGGCGACACCGGTAAAAAGCTATAATGCTATTGGCATACCTGAATCGACAGGGGACAGCAAATATCAAATCAACTTTGTAAACAATACGGGGGAATGTTATATTAGTCAATGAACAAGAGCATGTATTTATTACAGTTTTCATCCATAAAAGTTTCAACTCTATAACAAATATCTCCTACTGAAACTGCAGAGTTGAGCCATCATGTCCTATGAGCCAGCAACGTCAACGCCTCTTCTTCCTGAAAAAAAAAAGAGAGAAGATGGCCAAGTGGAAGAGCTCTTAAAACTCCCCATAAATCATCTTTACATCCTACCTTTCCAGCTTTTATCCAAGTTTACAGAAAGAGCATTAGAAAAACAAGCTCTTTGGATGAAAAACACTAAAAGGGACCAATAACCCCGTCACTTTCTGACATTATACACAGTTACGCAAGCTGAGACTTGTCACAAAGGAGAAAGAACAAAACCTTTCCTTCAAAAAAAGGATGAAGGAAAGTTGAAAAGAGGGAAAAGAAACATGGAAAGAAAAGGTGGGCAGAAAGGAAAAAGTTGGAAAAAAATAGAAAAAGACACGTAAGTTGGAGGAAGAGGAGCTTTAGGCATTAAAACGGCGCCTAACATATATGCATACCCTTGATTCTAGCCGTCGACATTTTTTATGGCATGGAGGCATAGCAGAAGATTATGTTGTGAAAAGGGCAGCCAGATGATGATCTTGAGAACTATTTGCAATTATGACATCTTCGCATCTCCACTAACAGCTTACTGATTCAGGACTTATTTGTCCAGTGCTTCCACCGCGAGCATTGGATCCAGTCACAGGCATGGACCTCTGAGCAAAATTCAACAACAGCTTCCTCTGCTGCTCATTTGTGTGCGGGAGACTAGCACGTAAAAGTTCGACCGGCATCTCTCTGCTTACAGCTCTTGCAGCGTCTTCATCAAACGTCTCTGTGTTTGACTGAGTCTGTGGAAGTATCGATTGCATTATTGAGTCGTACTTACTCAAGCAATACTTAGTAAGTAAACCAAAAAAGGCATCAAATGATGCCTGCCAAAGAGCAGGATTAGGCATGCTGAAGCTGCTAACAGCCTGAGGATCAGTCAAGAGATGAGTTGCCTTTTCAAGAACAGATTTAAGAATAATAGAGGCTCCATCTCCAGCAGGGCTTCCAAGAGGACGAAGAGGTGGCTGCTCTGAGGAACAAACAACAGCAGCTAGACAAGCACTAAGCAAATTAAGGTCCATGCCACGGGTACATGCAGAGACTGTTTTTGCAAAATTAGTGATAGTATCAGTGGCTCCTGGATTAGGTGGATGACCGCCAAACAAAAACCTTAAATGCCGAAAAATTGCCATGCAAACTATTCTTGCAAGCTCGACACCGGGTGCCAGAAGCTGAAGATACCTTGAAATGAGTTTCCGGCCTTTTGGAAGAGACACCAGCCATAAGAACACAATGTCATCTTTAGGGGTAAGCCCAACTGAACTCCCACTTTTTCCAAGCGGGTCAACAAGCTGAAGTGAGGAAGCCATGCCTTCCAACAGGATCTGCCGCTTCCGCCTCAGCTGAGCACCTCCATCTTGCGGCTGACTAAACTGAAGTAGCCTGTCGATGTCATCAACCTCAAGGAGAAGATAGAAACCATCCTCTATTGTAATTCTAGCTGCAAGCATTGGTTCCTGCTCTAAAGTTTTCTCAGACATGTCATGTTCACCACTGCCATTACAAACAAAACCGGGTGGATCATATTCAAGAAGAGGACGAGGCCTGCGGATGGAGGAAAATGAAATCTGCCCCTTAGCATCAACATGGAGATGAGGTTGTGACTCTGTGCTATTACGTGACCGTGAAGGTTGCTCCTTGTTTGGACAAAAACGATATTTTGACCTCGACTCAGCTGCTTTCTTTGCAAGCCGAGCTTGGTGATAATAATCGTCCACGTATGGATCATTGCCATGTGTTGCGGGATGCTGCATTTTCAGGATGCTCTCTATTTCATCACCAGTCATGTACTTAGATCTGAACTTGGAAACATTACTCTCACTTTTTTGGCTACCAGCTTCAGAGGCTTGTTGAGAAAAGCGCACATTCTGTCTACCTTTATTTGATGACTTAGATCTTGACTCTCTTGAATCAGCCGATCCATACTTACCCAGATGGGAAGGTGAAGGAAAGGAATTAAATTGGGAACGCAGTGCAGAAAAATGAGCTAAAGATGGTTGAACTGAAGGATGCAATCTCTGCTGCTGTAGCTGCCGGGGGGACATTAACTGAGGGGACAATAACCCATTCTGAGGAAATTGATGTGGAGATATACTATTTAAGAGGCTAGAATGATCCCCATGGATGAGACCGGCATGACTAATCCAGTGGTTTTGAAGCCGAGTATTGAGAGAAAGACCCGTAGGGGTCCACTGTGGCATGTTTCCACCGTAATGGAGCCCATGAGACAAGCCTGCTAAATGGATATTAGGATTTGACAAAGTGGGGAGATTGGCAGTTGAATAGGGTGACTGAGGTCCAGCAGCAAGAGATGGCATACTTTGATGATGCAATAGGCTGTGTGGTGAGGCTTGTTGAGATCTGCCACCAGGAGGAGGGAGAGAAGTGTAAGATGCCTTTGGCACTAAAATGGGTTCGCTTGAGAAGCGTTGAAGTTGTTGGGGTTGCTCAGGGTAGGAGGATGTTCTATACAACGGTTTTGACTCTGCATGATGCACAGGAGAGAAATGTGTCTGTGAAGACCATCTTTTGCTATCCTGGTAACATTCAGTGTCAGACAAATGCTGATCAAACCAATCAGTAAACTCAGTTTCCTTTGCCCATTCAGCTGCCGACGAACCTGCAAACAACTTCTGTCAATCAAAGAGACCTACATGGCAAGGTCATCATAAGAATGACAATAATGAATTATAGATCTAATATGGCATATATTAAAATGGCAAATCAAATTTTCCTTAGATACAAGAGTCTCCTACAGATTTCCTGTAATAGTTGAACATGCAAAATTGAAAAGATGCATGCCTGACCCCAATAAGAAGAAGAAAGATGGTAGGGAAATAGTGAAGGAATTAAAGGACTTCAGATTTACAGTTAGCACCAAAAAGATCAAAACTGAAAAGAAAGGGCGAACTCTCAGCCATGAGCAGCGCAACCAATTTGAGTCTCCAAAGGTATGAGTCAAGTGCCAATGTATGATATCTCAGAATTTACAGAACTTGGACTATGACCAAATATGCAGGGGCAGATAGAGCGATTAGGGGAATAAAATTTCTTTTACAGAGTACAACAGATATAATTAACAAGGAAAATCGTAGTGAATATCACTCAGCTAATAGTCGAAGAGATTTCTTTAACATAAAACAGCAACATCAGATGCTGACACAAAGATGAATCAACATGTGCACTTACTTTCCCTAGAAAAAGATCCTGATCCACGATCTCCAATAACTCCAGGATGCCTAGGTCCTGTGACGTTTCTGTTCAACTGGAGAAAGAAAGACAATCATGTAAGCCTCAAGAAAGATTATGTAAAGACACACCATCAAGATCATTATAACATACTCAACTGTGCAATGTGCAAGAAAGACCGGAAGGTAAATCCCAAAAACTAAGTGAAGCAAAATTTTAAGGTATTACACATCAAAATTAAGTTTATTTCAGGAATAGCATATCAGACTAATGCCAATCAGAGACATGAAGACTAAGTAGACAAGGAAAAGAAAATTATTAGCTGCAAATCCTATTAATGTGTGAAAGGCTCTGTTTCCTTTACCTCTCTCTTAAGTTCAGCTGGTTGCAACATTAAATCAATTCATTAGCCCCTATAAAGTCACGAAACTAATCAGATCCATCAGGCAGAGGATCTTCACTGCTCTACAAAGCAGTGCTGCTAAAAAATTCACAAGCCACAGCTTTTTTTTAAATGATGATCAAGTAAAATATAATTTTATTGATAATGGTAAAGCTCCAGTCCATATACAAGGGGTGCACCAAAAAGAGAGAACCACCATGCATGACTCCTATCTTCTTTACAAGTAGGAACCTCATGGATGCACCAAAAAAACATTAAAAGCAGGGGTTATTATTCTCCAGATGTACAAAATAAAGCTTTTTGTCCTTCAAAAGCTCTCCTATTTCTTTTCCTCCATACTATCCACATGAGTGCTAATGAGCAACATCCCAAACCTGGTGTCTTCTCTTCTTTCCTTTAAAGGCCCAACTAGATAATGCATCCTTCACAATACCCGGCATGGTCCATTGTACAATACTCGGCATGGTCCATTGTATCTGAACCATCTAAAGCTCCCACCACAGACATGATGCTACCGACCAATTTAGTACGAGATGATCCATGTCCTCTCCCGAGTGTCTACACATGAATGAAGCACTAACTAGCATATGTCATCCTCCTCTTCCTCAAATTTTTGGCTATTAGAACTGCGCCACTAGCAGGCAGCCAAATGAAAAAACATACCTTTTTTGGCACCATAGAATCTAAACCAGTGGATAGGAAAACCTGACTTCTCTCTAACTAGCAACTCACAGTAGTAACTCTATACGTCCACTACTTCCTAGAACCCATCTTTAAGAATTATGACTCTCTACCAGTAATGTTTGTATATAGAGCATTTCAAGCAAAATCCATATCCTGAAAATTCCTTCTCAAGTTTGAGATCCCAAATTACACTCCCACTCATGTAATCTCCCAACTTGTTGGACAGATATCTCTTTTTCAAGAAATACTTAGATATTTGTGAAAGTAATCCTCAACATGTTGTCCCCCAAAAACTAACCTTGTATGTTCCATAACCTGAATGAGATACTCTTCTCCATCTCTTTATAATATCGCACCAGAGCCTCAACAACAACAACAACAACTACCCAGTAAAATCCCACCAAGTGGGGTTTATCGCACCAGAGCCTCCTTATCAAAAAATATCTATCCAGAGGCTCCTTATCAAAAAGTATCTCTCCAGTGGCTGCACCAAAAAGGAACATTGGTGTTTTTGGTCATCCACCCCCTTCATGGTGCCATATTTTTCAGCTATCACATCTCCTCTGTTCCAAATCTCCACAACCACTTCCCCAACACAGCCTTGTTAACGACGCGAGAGTTTTTACCCCTAGAGCTCCCCCACCTTTAGGAGGTCATACCAACTTCCCAACTAAGTGAAATTTTCTTGCCCCATAGACGGAGTCAAGCAGGATGTTCCTCTGTAGTCTTTCAGTTTCTCTGTCACGCTAGCAAGTATTAGTGAGGGCACGAAATAAGTGGGAATGTTCAATATAGTGCTTTTAGTTAATACTTCCTGCCCCTATTGAGAATATCTTTTCTCCATCCTGCAAGTCTTTTCTCTACCTTTTTACTACCGGATTCCACATTGTTGTGTCTTTGTTTAATGAACTAAAAGACAGACCAAGATAAGTGGTTAGGAGGGCTCCAATCCTACAGTTGATCACCTGTTGTAGACTATCAGAATTATCCACTTCACCAACTAGATGATGATTTCTCAAGGCTTCCGGAGGTTCTTGTTGGCATCGCAAAATATTAGTCTCGTCTGCAAATAAGCAGTGTGTAACTCTGACAATGCCTTGACTCCCGCTGTTGCGAAACCCCTCAATTATCCACTTAGCACAACTCTATCCATCATTTTATTCAACGGTTTCATAACCATTATAAATAGTATGGGCAATAATACATCTCCCTATCTCAGGCCTATCGAGCTAGCAAAAACCCCACATAGGCAACCATTCACCAGGACCAAGAATCCACTTCCTCCACCTGTCACCAAATCTCATTCTCAATATAAAGAAATCAAGAAATCCCAATTGGATCGTACATGATACGCTTTCTTGAGGTCCAGCTAGCAAAATATACCAAGTTCTTCCAGCTTCCTTATGGATCTACTACTTCATTTGCCACCTACGTAGCGTGTAGAATCTGTCTCCCTTCCACAAAAGCATTCTGCGAGGTAGATGCTGTCTCATCCAGCATATTGTTTAGTCCATCAGAGAGTACCCTGGGGATTATCTTATAGATGTTTCCCACTAGACTAATAGGTCTTTAGTTTTGATGCACGTGGTTATCTCCTTCGGATATTAACCAATTACATTAGACCAAAGTAACTCGCATTTCTATCCGGAATCAAGAAGAGATAAAGTTAAAATAGCATGACCAGGTATTATAATGAAAACCACCAATTAAAAAGGTACATCATGGGCTGACCTTTGAAAATGTAGTTGCCAGATCATCTATGTCGGATAAAGACCCCAAAGCTGATCCCTGGAGATAAAGCAGTAAATTACTTTAACAAAGCAGACTACCCTACAGTATATCAGCAACTCATCAAAGTAATAAATGAATACAGCATACATACACCACCAAGGACACAAATTCACAAGGGACGGTACCAACATTATCTACAGATCACACATAAACTGAATGCAAAAAAAATGAGAGTTAGAAGAAAATATCAAATTCCTGAGCCAAAAGAACAAAAAGTGGGGAAAACAAATATTATAACAGTTAATTGGCAACGACATCACCAGACTCTCCAGGTAAGCAACAACAACAACAACAACCCCAGCAGTTTTCCACAAGTGGGGTTTGGGGAGGGTAAGATGTACGCAGCCTTACCCCTACCCCTGGAAGGACAGAGAGGCTGTTCCCGATAGGCCCTCGACTAGAGAAGAGAACGACTGAAAAAAAAAGGTGATTGCAATAAGTAGGAATAACAGCAAGATGAAATAAGATCGAATCAAAGAATGCAGTCAAACTCTAGGTAGTAATAGCCATCTATGAATAAAAGATATCATACTAACACTAATACTAGCAAACTGAGTAAGACAAAGAGAAACGCTCGACTAGCTACGAACCTTCTACCCTAATCTTTGACCTCCACACCCTCCTGTCTAGGGCCATGTCCTCAGTCAGCTCCAGCTGCGTCATGTCTCGCTTAATAACCTCTCCCCAAGACATCTTAGGCCTACCCTCCTGCTGCTCACCGAGGCTAACCGCTCGCACCTTCTAACTGGGGCTTCTATACTATGGGTGTTTAACGGGTGGGCCGGGCCGGGCCGGGTTGCGAAAAAAAGGTGATCGGCCAGTTACGGGTTATTCAAAACCGGGCTTAACGGATCCGGGTCCATCCGGGTAAAAAATGAACCAGGAGGGTTACGGGTCCAAGGGTCCGGGCCGGGCCGGGTTAGTGTTACTTTTCTTTTTTCTTTTTTTTTTTTTTTGTATTTTGTATAACTATCGTAATTTATATTAATATAAAGTAAAAATATAAAACAAAAAAACAATCTTATAAAAATGATGTTTGAATAAAAGGATGCAAAGGCTTATAATTTGCAAGTTCTTTTTTTATTTCAAACTTACAAATTAAAGTTTACATTTAACAACTAAATTAACGAAAAAGAGTAAAATTAAATTTTCATTGCATAATAATACTTAAAATTAATCTAACAAACTACAACATTAAGCATAAATACGTCTAATAATTTTAAAATAACACATATTGTCTCAAATCAACTTAAATACGAATTTCTAGAGGGCGCTCAAGACAACTCCTCATATGCCTCCTTAAACAGCCTGTGCCCACCCACTTAAGACGAAGATTTAAAACTAGACCACAGTTCTTGCACTTTACTTTGTGAACTTCTTCATTTTCTTCTACCACCTCAAAGTGTTCCCAAACATATGAGCGCATTCTAGAAGTACGGGACATGATTTAACTTGATTTGAGAATTTGAGTTTGAGAAATGAGAGATGAGTGAAGAAATGAAGAAGAGGGAGGGTGTATTTATAGTTTTTCAAAGGGCTAAATTAGTAATTACTAAAAGTGTTACTTTTTAAAAAACATTGACCAAAAAAGGACTATTCTTGCAATCAACCCGTTGGGCAATGGTCATATGACATCAAAAAAAAAATCAAATTTCTAGCCGTTAAAGCGGTCCGGACCGGGCCGGTTAACCGGGTCAATAGTAATTTTTGTTGACCGGGTTTGACCGGTCCGGTTAACCGGATCTTTTTTGGTGAACGGACCAACCCCCTTAACCCCCCTAACCCAGCCCACCCGGACCACCCGGCCCCCTAACTACCGGTCCGGGGTTTCAACCGGTCTAGGCCGGTCCGGAAACGGGTCAACTTGGCCCGTTTGACATGCTTATTCTATACTTCTCCTCTTAACATGCCCAAACTATCTCAACCTTGCCTCCCGCATCTTACCCTCCACAAGGGTCACTCCCACCTTTTCCTAAATAACTTCATTACTAATCTTATCCAACCGGGTATACCCACACATCCACCTCAACATCCTCATCTTAGCTACTTTTAGCTTCTGGGTATGAGAGTTCTTGAACAACACTCTGCTTCATACAACATAATAGGTCTAACTACAACCTTGTAGAACTTACCTTTAAGTCTCAACGACACATTTTTATCACACAAGACATAGGAAGCGAGCCTCCACTTCATCCATCCTGCTCCAATACGATGCGTGACATCTTCATCAATCTCCCCGTTACCTTGTATTATAGATCCAAGATAGTTGAAATTACCTCTCTTGGGGATGACTTGCGTATCAAGCCTCACCTCCATATCCCATTCCTGGGTACCGTTGCTGAACTTGCACTCCATGTATTTCGTCTTCGTCCTGCTCAACTTGAAACCTTTTGACTCTAAGGTCTACCTCCAAACCTCCAGCCTCTCGTTAACACCATCCCGCGTCTCGTCATAAAACTATGTCATCTGCAAATAACATACACCATCGCACCTCACCTTAAATGTGTCTCGTCAATGCGTCCATCGCCAAGGAAAATAGGAATGGACTAAGAGTTGATCCCTGGTGCAACCCCATCATAACCGGAAAGTGTTCCGAGTCTCCTCCCGCTGCCCTAACCCGAGTCTTAGCTTCATCATACATGTCTTTAATCATCCTAATGTACGCTGCTGGGACCCCTTTAGCCTCCAAGCATCGCCAGAGCACCTCCCGAGACTTTGTCATATGCTTTCTCTAGGTCAATGAACACCATGTGCAAGTCCTTCATCCCCCTATACCGCTCCACCAAACTCCTCACAATGTGAATGGCTTCCATAGTCGAACGCCCTGGCATGAAACCGAACTGGTTCTCAGGAATGGACACACTGGTCCTCACCCTCACTTCAACCACCCTCTCCAGGTAAGCATACTGATAAAATTCACAAACCAAATCAATAAAAGGGAATCAGCAATTATTTTCCTCAAGTTAGAGCTAAACACCAATCTTAAAACATCTACTATCGCACTCAGCATATTTAGCCTATATTTTTAGTAAAAAGAAATTTAGTTCCGTTGGGTAGAGTCCACAACCCTAATCAGAGTGAAGCTAAAAGCCCCACATGCCTTCTACCACCCTTTGCCACTTTCCTAGCTACCACTTCCCTAAACGGACAGCCTTAATTGCAACTCAGAAGCTTGGACAAACACCTGCAAACCACCAACCTGACCCTCCCATTGGCCTCTTAGATCAATGGTGAAAGGAAGGACTGCAGTAGACCCGTGATTGTAGAGTACGAGGGGAGGGTCTTAGGACCCTTAGGTGAGAGACCCTTAGGTGAGAAAGCAAAGAAAAGAAGGCAATATCTATTGCCTATTTGGCCGATTCCATAAGCTACATATCTAGGACAAGCAAAAGCAAACAATATGAATGTGTCGCTACCATATATGATATGACGCACTTTCATGATCTAACAAGCATGAGAACCTATAGTTAATAACACTAAAGAAGAAAAGAAGAGTATTTTTAGTATTTTCCTTAGTAGAAGGAGCAGATGCCAAGTTCATTTATTTCCTCTTTTTCTCTTCATTCTAGATAAAGATAGAGAACAAATGCCCACAAGCAAGAAACAATTAATACATAAAAACAAGTATGATACAGTTCGGCAAACAAATCATGTACGTCCTCATTTTTTTTCAAACAAAGAATGTAAAGTTTAAAAATAAAAATAAAAGAATGTACCTCATCTTTTTCAAACAAATGGTACTCCTGTACATCCTCGTCACCAAATCCACCATCCACCGAGGGAACACAGTTGTTCCCTTCTTCATCTAGGCCTCCCAATTCAACTTCCTCTCCTATATCTCGTCCAAAAAATGCATACTGTGATGCATCGAAAAGTGCACAATCTGCATCAGAACCCAACAACAAACGTCAGTATTTATACACCCTTTTCACATTCAAAAATAAACAAGTTTTTTCTTCTACCAAACTAATCACTCCCACTCTCCTCTTTAGTATGTCCCAGAAAGAATGACACATTTCTATATTTAAAAATAATTTAACTCCATTTTACCCTTAATGAAATTAGTTCATAGGCATACAAATATTTATGACTTATTTTAGACCATAAGTTTCAACAACCTTTCTTTCTTTCTTAGCTTATGAATTCCAAAGCAACTTCAAGTTAATACTACAATAATAACTAGATTCAGAGTAAAATCAATACACACAGAGAGTGTGGGCAAAAACTAGTGGGTTCACACGAACACATCTATTACATGATCAGTCAAGCACCATCACATAAAATGGGACGGAAGGAGTACAAAGTAAAACAGGGAAACCCAAATAGAATCAAACAGTAATTTCAATAAAATCACTCAATTTATAAACAAAAAACAAGCCGTGCAGTGAGCTGACCTGAGATGGAGCTAGAGGAGTGGGACAAGTCCATGGAATCTTTGCCATCAGATCTCTCCATAATTTACGAAATTACCACAAAAGAAATGGAAACCCTAACAAAACTAAACATGTAATTCGACTGAATTAAAGACCTCTGTTGGTTATAAAAAAACTTGAGGTTTTTTTAGGGCTTTTGAAGGAATAGAGGAAATTGAGAGAGGAGAAGATGAGGAGAAGAAGAGAGACACATAGCGTGAATATGAATACTACGTGTTTGGTTTAGTGTGTGTCTGTGTGTGCGTGTAAGGTGAAGAAAGAGACGGGAGACTTCTTCTTTTGTTTCCCCGAAAGTGAGAAGTGAATGTTAAGAGAGAGAGAGGACCGAGGGAGGACTTATGGGATAAGCTAAAATTATGTTATTTTTAATTACCGAATACACTTTTTTCTTTTATAAATACTCTATAAACTTTTAATGCATATACAAGATTTAGGCAAAAGTTACTGGATTCTCGGGTGCCCGCATCATTGACTCTTGATCCGCGACTAGAACCCGCAGTTGCTAGTAAAAATAGCACGGTCTAGCCAGTTTTCGGACTGGTCATTCAAAAATAGCCAGCGTTTACCAAGTCAATGAAAAATAGCCACTACTTTGCTGCAATAGAGACCGGTCCAGCATAATATACTGGAGTTCGGTGCACCTGTGTATGAACTTCCAGCATATTATGCTGGAACTCCAACACACGAAAAGTTCCAGCATAATATACTGGAGATTCGAGCACTTGTGTATGAATTTCCAGCATATTATACTGGACCGGTATACTTGCTGGAACTCCAGTATATTATGTTGGAGTTCTAGTGTACTTATGCTGGAACTCCATCATATTATGCTGGAGTTCCAGCATACCTATCCTGGAACTCCAGTATAATATGTTGGAGTTCAAGTATACTTATGCTGGAACTCCAGCATAATATACTGGCATATTTTCCGGGTTTTGAACAGTGTTTTCGTTCGGATTTATCTTTACATGACAAGTGGCTAAATTTCGATTACTTTTGAAACTGGGCTATTTTTGAACGACCGCTTGTAAATCTGGCTATTTTTGAATTTCTCCCTAGTTGCTACCCTACGGCCTACGCTAGATAAAATATGCTTTCGTGTAATAGCTTACAAATCGCACTAGGTAAACTCCATGCGAAGGGTCGACCGAGGAAGTATACAAGTGAGTTTCGAGACCTATACCTCTCATTTGAGAAGTCCCCTACTCAACCAACTCGGCCACCCTGAAAAGTTTATTTTTTCTATTATAACATTGATATTTGAGTTATTTCATTCCATTATTTCATTAGTTACATGTGTATCTTGCTATCTTCTACATATGATCAAAAAATTACACCCAATAACCTTAAAAATAAATTATTGATTACTGTTTATTTTATGGGCAAATCTTTAAGATTAAAAGTGAAAAGTATTGCTACGAAGCAAGTGACGGTAATACTTGTTAAACATGAAGTCCTACCCATAAGATAAATGTGATCAAAAAATCAATAGTAATGCCGAACCGAAATATCCTATTTATGCTAATCACCAGATGAATAATTGTACCTATCAAAATTTATTTTGTTTGGATCTACCTTCAATCGTCATGCAGCAAGTTCTTTTGTAATGAGTACTCTATTTTATTTTTTTTTTTGATAATACATTATCCCGCTTTTCTCAACCCAAAAAAAAAAAAAAAAGGAAAGCAATCACTTAATGCTTATTTTTTTCTTTTTGGAATTTAGACCATGATCTTCAAAGTTAACACTTATTTTATTGATAATTAAGCCATACTACCTTTTAGAGCTCGTTTGGTACGAGGGATAGAAAATAATTTAAGAAGAATTATTCCATGTTTGGTTGGTAGAAAACTGCGGTATAACTAATCCCGGAACTAGTTATCCCGGGATTGTAGTGCTTTTTTATCCCTATGGAAAAATAGAATAACTAAACACGGAATAACTAATCCCGGGACAATTAATCCTGAGATAACTTCTTTCCAACAAAACGACCCCTTAGTGTTGTTTTCTTGAGAAAGGCATTTAGATTAATTCATGAAATATGTGTTACCTTGCATTTGTACATTAACAAATAACAAGTTCAAGTTAGACAGATTATATCACTTCCAAGACAAGCTTAATTGTCTGAAGTAGCAAATCGTTTAATTTAATTTAATATGAATGGAATAACAGTAACAAAAAACGATCAGCATCTACCTCATCCCGATCACAAGGAGAGGTTCATTATGATGGGGTACATTTTTTTCCCTTAAGGAAAAAATGAAATGCACAGGGGACCATCCTTTTGTTGCGGCATGCTCCTCAGATTTACGGATTCGCAGGGGGCCTCATGCCTTACTTAGTTTCGCAAGCCTTTGTCATTATCAGTCAACTAAGTAGGGCCTTTTCCTTTTTGTTTGAATAACTCATTCTCATTATCTTTAATTGTTTCAGCTGAGGCCATACTAATCAAAGATGATTTATTACTGAAACATTTTGATTTATTAAAATAACAAAAACGTGTATTGTGTTTCACAACTTTAAAGCTTCAAGTTCAAGTTGCTTTTAAATTTTCAAATTATTCGCTAAAACATTGGATCATAACAATTGCTGATGGTGAAAGGTGCTTTATGAAAGTCGGTCCACAATAATGAAAGTATAACTTGAACCAAAAAAGAAAGTACAACTGATCATTGCTTATGAATCAAAACTCACTTCCTGCTTTTTAAATTCTTTTTTGGCTACATTCAATTCAAGATTTTTAAATTCGTTTTTGGCTACATTCAATTCAAGATTTTTACAATCTTTCACTTGAAGACTACTCTAACTAATCATGTCAAATTAAAAAAGACAATTCGTGTATAGTTGCGAGTCAGAATATTTATTAAGAAGCGTCAACATAAAAAGTAAATATACGGAAAGGTCAACAAAATTAATGTATAGTATATATATATGTATATATACATGAATGTTTAATTTTACCTCTCTACATAGTGTAATTGTCCGATAAAGAAATATCAATTAACAAAGATAACTCTGCCACTATTTGTGTACGTTGTATGTTTCTTGTAGGCAAGGGCGTACGCAAAGTTTTTCGCAAGCGGTGTCGATAGTTAAAAAAAGATACTCAAGGTTAGTTTATACTTTATAGGCATATGATTATGTAATTACTATAATTTGGTTCCCGACAGGTGCTGATGTACAACATGAGTTACGAAATTGGTCGAACCTAATAGTTTTAACTACAACTCTATATTACTATACATTAAAAAAAATATGAAATATGTACAAATATTAAATTTCAAACCTAATAACTCAAACCGGTCATCATAGGTTAGCACTACACATAATACGTTTGCTCCGCACATCACGGACAAAATCACAGAGCAATATTCGGTGGCAGATGGGAAGCACATGATGCATTAATGTTGAGAGCAAATAGTTAAAAATCAAATAGTCATAGAAAGTACTACTATATATTACCAAAGATCACAGGAACCTTTGCTGTGTTTCTTATTAATGGACAAATCAAATTATGCGTTTGAGGGAATACATTAATATACTATATTTATCTTAGCTAGTTGACTGACTTTGTTCACCTTATTACTTTATTGCTGTTACTGTTTCTTGTTTTATTTTCATCGTTTTTTGAGCCGAGGGTCTATCAAAAATGATATCTCTACCTTTACATGATGGAAGTAATATTTGTGTACACATTACCTTCCCCATACTCTATATATAAAATTACACTGGGTTTATTGTTATTTTTGTAATTGATTGACTTAGTTAAGTTGTATTGTTTTGTTTGAGCTCAAAGCTCAATGGAACAATGCAATGCAAACATTGGTGTCCACATAATTTTAATATTTTATATAAGTGGTGTCAAGTCTATTTTCACAATTCAGCTTGCAAGTGAGTCTAAATATTGATCTGTAATGGTTTTAAAACTTTATTACTTTTTGTCTACAAATTAATATTTAGTTTGTATTATTTTCAGTTCGTGACAGAAGTATATTTGTTCTTTACAAGGTTATTCAAAAACTAAGCCATCAAGCTGAATATTTTCATCAAGTTTCGACAAGCATGAATGATGTTGAAGCAACGCCGAATTTAGGATTTCAAGAAGATGGATTCACCACTACCTTAATGATAAATGTCGGTTTGATAATACAAAATACTACGGTAATAACAACTTAGCGAGCAAATAATAATTAACATCATTATCACAAAAATATCATTTAATTTACAATTGTACTTAATGAGTTTTCATATTTTGAGCACAATCTATAACAGCTTCGCTACTTACGAGTTTTCATGTGGTTGGAACTTTACCAAGTTAACATTCAAGTACTCAAGCACATGTATATCAACTATGAAGCATATATGTTCATATCCTAACATTAGAAATGAATGTTGTCAAGTTAGCCATAGCTTTAGAACTAGCCACCTTGCCCATTGTCATCTCATTTAGTATAGCAATTCTTTCACTCATTTCATCATCCTCCATGACCCTTTTTAATCCTTCCTCCAAATCTTTCACTTCAAAATCATTAATTCTGACGCCGACTCGCCATTTTTTAACAATATAACCACAATTAATAAATTGGTCACCTGCAATTGGATAGCACAAAAGGCGTTTCTTGGATTGTATCGCTTCCATTGTAGAGTTCCAACCACAATGCGTAAGATAACACCCCACAGCTTCATGTTGTAAAACATCAATTTGTGGTGCCCATGACACAATTTTCCCCTGTTTTGAAATTTTCTCCAAATAGCCCTTTTCTAAACCTTCTCTCCATAAAGGGGCTAATACCCAAATAAAAGGTTTTTTTAAGGCTACAAGTGCCAATGCCAAACTATTCACTTTTGCTTCTCCAATTGGACTGACCCAACTTCCAAAAGAAATGTACACAACTGAATTAGTAGTTTGCATATCTAGCCAATCTAAGCAACTTGAATCTTCCTTCCAGAAACTAGCATTCTTGATTGTTACATGAGTATTTAAAGGTCCAATTGGGAGAATTTTTGGACAATCTTGGGATTGATCAATTTTTGTATTCAAAATAGTAGTATTTCTAACCTTGTGACATTCGTCTGGAAAGGTATTTACGAGGAGCCATTTTAGGGTTCTTGATCTTTCCATCGTCTTAGTCCAGAACTTGAATCTTGAAAAACTTGCAGCTGAATTTCCAATAAGCCATGGTAAATCTTCTAAACCAAGTGTAGGTTCACCAAGTGAGATGGATATAGGACCATTCTGCAATGGACAACCTGCGAAATCATCAAATTTTTTTCATAGGTTTTTCAATTGGAAGAGATTCTAAACATATTGTACGTTTAGAATGGCATATTTGATTAGGAAAA